GGTGTTGAGCCACGTCTCTGTGTGTAAATGGACACACAGGGCAGTGGCTCAGGAGCAATCAGTGGCTCAGTAAGCTGTTTGCTGTGGGGGCACTTGGCAGGAGGGAGGGACCAGGAGTGCTAGCCTTTAATATCACTTTAATGCAGAGAATGCATTACAGTAAAAAACCTTGAGCCTTTGGAACTACTTTAATAAGGCCTCGTTCAAACAGGGCATACTACAGTGTACACCCATGGGAATGTCATGTTCTGTGCTTCCCTGTGCAGGCAATCCAATTGATATCAACTTGGACACAGTGGCTGCATGGACACAGCCACTGCTCCCAATTCCACATCCATGTGGATGAACAACTCTGAATTCATACTGTTTACATTTAGGGTCATATACCCATGAAAATGTCAAATTAAGAGCAGCAGCTGTGTACTTGCATCCAGAGCAGACACCCTGAAGTTCAGCATCATTTAAAATTTTAGCTGCTATAGTAGGAATTATGTAGATTTTTCATAATGGAGGATTATACATTGCACAGATAGAAAGTGAGAATAACAATTTTTCAACAAACAGTCACATTATTAGAGTTACAGGCTTTCACTAACATGTTTAAAATGAATTCTCGCCCTAATAAGCCTTGGTTCAAACTAAGGCCGTGCGGCACATCACCTATGATTTGCACAGGAACCGCAACGCATTCCTGTGCAAATCACATGTGATGTCTGTGTGGTGCGATTTGAGCCATACATTTTGCATGGCTTAAATCATATTGCATCTGCACCAAAAAGGTGCAGGACTCTTTTCTTCCCCTCGCCTGATTCACATCGCGTCGGTGTTCACACCCATGCAATGAAAATTCTGGTAATCACACTGCATTTTGCAATCTGTTTTGGGGTGTGGTAATTTAACATTGACACCTGTACCAGACTGTATGCCATGCGATTGCAATTCAGTGCGGGAAACGTACAGGATTCACTGCTTTTCTCGCACCGTATTAGTGTGAACCAGGGCTGAATCAGAGGAATTTATCCTGACAAAGTCACAAAATTTGGTGGTACCCCAAACCATATAAATGTCCAGATCAACAACACCATCACTTTTGCAACACAACAATATATCTACATATTTACAGATATACCTGGAAATTCAAGACTGTATGAAGACTTTATAAATAAACCACCTACTGTAGTCATGCATTTCTGCTGATTGGCAGAACACCTAGTCACACTGCTAATTCACCACACGCTATCATCTGACAGGTTTACCGTATAAAGGGGATTTCACAAAGAACTTGATATATGCAAGGAAGTGCTGAATTTAAAATTGTTTCTCTACAGCCTGACTACAGAAAAGTGATAATTTGTTTTCAAAAACTGCAAAATAATGGAAGAACCGTTGCACTTTATGGATAATGGGTGAGTTTACAGGAGCATCACATGCTTGTAACATTCTTTTTTATCCGCAGTTGTGAAAGGGTGTTGCCAGTCCAGCCCATTTTTGGACTATATGTCGAATTTTGGAGGATATACAGTACATGAAGCTTTTTATAAACTCACAAAGGTCACAAATTTATATAAATAAGATATTTATTGTTTTGCACTTTATATATAATTTTATTGCACTTTATATTTATGTAAGCACTGTATATTGTGGGTTATGTTTTGTCTGTTTAGTGCTAAGAATTTAAGAGGATGTTAAAAAATGATGAACAGTGAGGGCTTAATGCAGAAAATTTAAAACGTCATATAAATGTTTTGTTCATCTTAAATTATCCAAGGAAAGAGTGTTTGCAAATAAAGCACACAATTGATAAGATAAAGATCTGTCAATGTTCAGATTCCGATATCTATCTGGATAAAATGTGCCATTGCTGTCATCCTTTTCCTTTCTTCACTATTTGGCAAGTTAGTGGTCTGTAACATGTATGCACATATCAGGTGTCGGGATACTTTGGATGAAACAGGTAGATCATTGACTCATTTACTGATCCAGATTTCATACAGTACTGCCTGCATAATGATAATCCTAGTCACTTGGTCACATTGAGGAAATTTAATAGAACTGGAGCACTCAGAATCTGGTGCAGCTGTGCACTGAACCCAAACAGCTTCTAACTTCAACTTGTACAGTTAAGCTTTGACAATAAAACCTGGAAACTCATTGGTTTCTATGCAGAGCTGCACCAGATTTTGCACTCTCCAGTTTTAGTAAATAACCCCCATTATCCCTACATAAGGCCGGATTGGACATGGCTTCCAAAAAAATGGTCTAGACTATTGGTCATATGATCAGCATTTGATAGAGTCACAAGCAGAATTTTCTCTAGGAAAGGTAAGTAATTCAGCCCCTCTGTATAACTTCACTTTAGCCTTCTTAGTTCTTTGGATGTGTCTAGTACATCTAGAGCTTAACCTCCTCGGCGCGGTCTGATTATTTCCGTTTTTTTGTGCTGAAAGCGGTACCATTTTTTTACATGGAAATATGTAGTTTTTTATTGTAGGCTGTAATTTTTAGGAATAATTCACTGAAATCTGTACAAACAAGAGTCTAGTAAACATCCCAGGTAGGATAAAATTTGAAACACGAAATCATAAATTATAATTTAATAAATAATCATAAAAAATAATAATATTATAATAATAATAAATTTAATTCAATAATATAATCAAACCAAAAACACTGACATTTGAAATACAGAGGCAAGTTCGCACATCGCTGAGCAAAGTCGCAAAATCGTTTTCAGTGTCTGATGACGAATTTCCTCACGAATCATTATCACTCAATTCTGCAAGTGGTTCTGATTTACTATCGCTGTTCTCTAGCTGGTCTAAAACCGCTTTTGACGTAAAGGGACGCTTTTTGACGCCATGGACTTTTCTAAGTTTCCAGGCAGAAAGAACAGTAAAAATGCAGGCAGGGCACAGGACAAAGCAGTAGGGACAAAATGTATGTGAAATGCATTGAAACAGCAATGTTTTACTATGAAATAGTCATTTAAAAAAAAATGAAATTTTTCTAAAAATTTCAAATTTGCCGCCTGTACGTCCCGTCATCACAGGGACCGGAACACGGAAGCTGGATGCCGGCATCGGCCGGAGGAGATGGCCGGGGACGCTGCAGGGGACACATCTTGGGAGTGAAGGACAAGGTAAGTGCTGCAGGGACTCCCTGAACAACGCCGCATGGTAAGCCTGAGTGTAGCTCGGGGTTACCGCTCTTGGTAATCAAATTTTACCCAGAGCTACACTTGGGAATACCGCCAGGGAGGTTAAAGAAGTTAAAAAAGCTTTTTGGCTGCATTGGCAGCCATGCGTTTGTTTCTTTTTGTGCCACAAACTCAGAGTTTTTATGTAAATGGGCAGCTAAGAGGGATGTTCGGTCACTTTTATGCTTCACACTAAGTGACACCCCCCTGCTGAAACCCCCCTTTCTGTGGTTCCTGGGTTCCCTCACTCCTTCCGGGAACCTGGGACACCAATAACCATTTTCAGGATGGTGAACAGGAGGATATTGTGGGATTTCTGTTGCCCAATCTCCTCTGCTGAGTGTGAACTCAAAAGTGCTTAGCTCTGAAAAGCCAAGTAATCAGCACATCAAGTTCAGTCCTATGCTATCCCTCATGATTCCATAAAGAGTGCATGTCACCTGCCCAATGCTTTCACATAAAAGACTTGTTAGCCCCTTGTGATAGCAATAAAGTAAAATGAAAATAAATAAAGGAATTAAGTGTTAAAAATGTGAAATATAATAAAATAAAAATGACCAGAAAATAAATTCAAAAGCACCACCATTGCCCTGTGCACATACATAATGTAAAAATGCAAACATGCATATAGTGTGGGAACATGTATGTAAACAATTACACAACACATATTGGGTATCTTTGCACATGCTGGAGTGAGAGCAAAAATAATATGGTCTTTATTCATTGTTGCCTCTAGATGTTGAGCTAAGACATTTAAAGTGTAACCTACTGATAATTCTGGGTTTTTGACATTTGTGGGCACACACAGATTTTAGGCTTGGCCTATGTGGTATCTATTTAGGGTCCATTTCCAGCCAAAATGTTTTTATCTTTTTATTTTTTTGGGTGTCACTGTTACTTTGGGGTTAATTTACTAAAACTGGACAGTGCAAAATCTGGTGCAGCTCTGCATAGAAACTAAGCAGCTTCCAGTTTTTTTTTTTTTGTCAAAGCTTAACTGAACATTTTGACATTGAAGCTGATTGGCTACCATGAAGAGCTTTGCAAGGTTTTTCACACTCCGGGTTTTTAAATCAACCCCATTGTCTTCAATACTTTGAGTCATTGACCTGGAACCACTATAGAAACTCATTACAAGCATTACAGCATGCTTGTTCCATTTTTGTGAAGCAGAAAGTATTGACACCAAATACGGTCAGGCAACAACCAATTTTTAGATGGATCTCAGCAATGGCAACCCCCCATATTTTACCCATGACGTGTTCATTTTAAGGAAATTCTTTCTACAGTTTCTGTCTGGGAACCATCATACAAACAGAAATGAGATTAAATATTCCCAGTGGGGGCAAAGATGGTTCCCATTTGAATGATTTGGCTGGAGCTGGGCCTTAATTTACGTACAGGCACTGCTTGGTGTCTGAGCTTAACTGCCTCCCACCTGCCATATAGTACAATGATGGGCGCAAGGCAGTTGTCTCGTTCTGGGAGGACGACATATGACGTCCTCCCATTCTAACCGCAAATGCGCAGCTCCGGGAGCACGCAGCGCGGCAATCGACGCAGCAGATCACCGATCAACTCAAAGAGCCAAAGATGTCGGCTCGGTCATATGATCAGCTGTGTCCAATCACAGCTGATCTCATGTAAACAGGGAAATGCCGGTTATCGGCATTTCTCTCCTCACGAGCTGTCATGCTGACAGCTCGAGAGGAGAGCCGGTAATCGACATTCCTCAGAGGGGACATGTACACTGATCATCAGGGCACTGATGATCAGTGTGCCCTGATGATCTGTGTAGCCCCAGCAGTGCCACCTGTCAGTGTCCATCAGTGCCAGCTGTCAGTGCTCATCCATGCCACCTGCCAGTGCCCATCAGTGCCACATTTCAGTGCCCATCAGTGCCACAACAATGCCACATATCAGTGCCCATCTGAGCTGCCTTTCATTGTCACCCATCAGTGCCAGTCAGTGCCACCTATCAAAGCCAGTCAGTGCCACCTATCAGTGCTGCCAATCAGTGCCACCTATCAGTGCCAGTCAGTGCCGCCTCTCAGTGATGCCTATCAGTGTGCATCAGTGCCGCCTATCAGTGCCCGTCAGTGCTGCCTATCAGTGCTGCCTAACAGTAGCAGTCAATGCCGCCTATCAGTGCCAGTCAGTGCCGTCTATCAGTGCTGCCTATCAGTGCCATATATGAGTGCTGCCTTTCAGTGCCCATCAGTGATGCCTGCCAATGCCCATCAGTGCCACCTACCATGCCTCCTCATCAGTGCTCATCAGTGCCACCTATCAGTGTCCATCAGTGCAGCCTATCAGTGCCCATCACTACAGCCTCATTAGCGCACATCAGTGAAGGAGAAAAATAACTTATTTACAACATTTTATAACAAAAACTAAGAAAAACTTTTTTTTTCAAAATGTTTAGTTGTTTTTTGGTTTGTTTAAGAAAAAATTAAAAACCCAGAGGTGATTAAATAGCACCAAAATAAAGCTCTATCTGTCACAAAAAAAAAAGATAAAAATTTCATATGGGTACAGTGTTGCATGATCGCGCTATTGTCATTCAAAGTGTGACAGCACTGAAAGCTGGAAATTGGCCTGGGCAGGAAGGGGGTATAAGTGCCCGGTATGCTAGTGGTTAAAGAACTGTGTTAGTTTTAAAATTAACAGTAATTGTTTGCTAGATATTTGTAATTCTTATTCATAAAGAAAAGAAAGTATTCTACTGGATCCCTAAGATATCACATAATAACGATCATCCAACTTCTATACATAGCCTGCAAATTTGCTAGATTTTGGATGTCCCCTCATGTTGCCATCAAGAAGCACTGGGTGAAACATGTTAATTTTATCCTAAACCGAGGAAAAATAACTTATCAACATAGAAATTGTTCTAGCAAATTCTTTTCCCACTGGCAGGCTTGGATGGACATATCAGGGTTCACCCCCTACAATTTGTTATGGACCATCTGATGCAGGAGTGATACATGTTTGTTTTCTCTATATTGCTATAACTTGGGGCACAGAATGAGATGATCTTTCTGTGGTCATCTACTATGGCTCTGAATGGGGACAGTCTGACCTGATCTACTCTTGAATGGCAGCAACAGTGCACTGAGACTAGCCCATTGGTGGTCTTCTCAGCGTCATTTTGACACCATGTAAATGTGTTTTTGCTCTTCTATTTTTCTTCTTTTTGTCACCTAAGTGCCACCATCATTATTAGCAGACTTATACAGATAGGCTGTTTTATTATACATGATGGAGCTTTGTGCTATCATTTTGCTGAATATCATTGTCATATGGAACTGTCAGGCTTGACTATGCTGTCCTCTTTCTTGACTTGACTGTATTTTTTATGCAATGTTCTGTACTTTGATTGAGATGGTTCAATAAAAACCTTATTTGATTAAAAACAAGATATCACATAAGCCATAACATGAGGAAGGGTTAAAACCATTATCAGATTTTTACTGCTATCCAGGACTTCATCAGGAAGATTTTGCCTCACTTTGCCAACAGGACAGAAAGTAAGGGAAAACTCTGTGCTTGACAAACACTTTAAATAATAACTGATGATCGCGCCTTGAAGGTCCTTGTTTAGGCATTTCCTTGTAAGGGTTGACAACTGTCTCCAACTATTGTCTTTCATTGTCACCCTGTTACATGCTCCCTCAGTGGAACTAAAAATGAACTACCGCTGTCACTATCAAGTTCAGAACACTGATGTGCCGCTAGTTCTGGAGCAAGTGCATAGAGGTAGAAAGTAGCTAAAAGAGGCTGGAAATGCCAAAGATTGTTTATGACAGTGCTTTAGGAAGGTTTAGATCAACTTCAAATGTCCAGTTTTCTTTTCTACTTATCTACATAGCGGACCCACTGCAGGAACTCCTCAATATTGCCTCTTGTCTGAAATGTTTTGTGTGATAGGTCAACTAGAAAAATAAGATAGGAGAAGGGAACAGGGACAGGAAAGTCCAGGAAGATGGATTACTGAGCTGCAGTGTAAAATGATAAGACACTTTGCAAATGTTCCAGCAAACGCACTGTCGCTCAATACATTTGATATCTGTTTCCTCATTATTTAGCTGTCTGCCATCAGCTTGTTTTGATAACATCCTTCAGGACAAGTAATAGGAGCACATATGTGAATTGTTTTTACTCAAACCATCTTTCAAGATGGCTCTTGATTTAAGGGTATTTTTCATCAAATGTTATCAAAACTTACACTTCCCTGTACAATTGCTCGCTATGAATGTTTGGTACCAGCTGTCACTGTTGAAATACAAGCCCTTATTAGCCTAAGAAAAAGTTTGCCGGTGAGACTAACTAGAGAATTTCCAATAACTATAAACACTCCGGCAAGTGGGAACAAGAGAATGACAGAATTACAAATCGTGCAGCGCACTGCCCTTAACAATGCAAAGGCTGTGTCCAAGAATGAAACACTTTTTTAAAGCAGGAGTCCTTGGGGGACGAGGACTCAGAAAGATGGAAAAACATTAAAATGTACGAGGTTAAAGAAATGTCAGCAGGATCCCTCAAGAGTTTTTAATATGCATGCCATTAGATGTTTTTATAGAACAATTACCAACAGACGTGTCAGAAATTAATGTCACCATGCCAATGTTTATTCAGCTAGGGCAGCCACCCGGATTCCTTGTTATATATTTATTATTATTCAGTCATCTCATTATATTAGAGATCTTCTTTGCTCACACTGTTTTGTGACACCAGCAAAGTTTCTATATGCCACCCAACAAAGCCTTTCATTTTAGCTCCACCTACTTCAAATCCAGCCGATCCTGAAAAGAACATTTCTGCATGTTAGAAGAGTTATGCTGCTTTAGCTTGTTTTAATATTTTGGCTTGTTTAATTTTTGTGCTGTTTTAAACTTCAGCAAAGTTTCTATGGTGTATCTCTTATGTTCAGGTCCTATTCCCCTCCCTCCGCAATTACCAGCTGGCAAATTGAAAGTGGGGATTTGTTATGGATGACATAAGAGGAGAGGTTCTTAAAATGCAGCCTCGTTTGTAAAACAAAACTTACAGTCTGCAAGTGTCAATTAGTGATGTAATGTAACAATGTATTGTTTCATTGTATTTACTATTTCACATACCTTACATTTGCATGTGAAGTTAGAGAGAAAAAAGTTGTAAAAGTCATATGTCATATGATAGTGCTATTGCTGCTAAATGGGGATCTGCTATTCAGCAGCAGTAGCACTACCCGTACTAAATGACAGATCCCTGGCTGGCTTCTGCTTGTAAACAAACCAGCAGGGTATCTTTCATTTAGCCATGACAGCCATTAAACAACAACAGATCCTGTAAACAATTGGCTGGATTCTAGCTAAGTTTAGGTCAAGCTCATGTTCAGCCTAAACCCAAAGCTCATCCCTACTGTTGGGGTCCAACTCATGTTCAACCCAAACCCAAAGCTACTACTGTTGATCTGCATATCACTTTAATTTAAAATAATTTCTAATCAAAAAAATAAATTAATCAGTGAATAAATATTGTTTCTAATTAACCCTTATTAACCCTTTGTTCAAAATGATTAGCCCTAATTAACTCTATCCTCCTGTTCTCCCCTAAGCTATTATTTTTATGCAGATTTATTTAAAATGTTTTTTACCGGTAACAGTTAATATTTTCATTTTATTTGTTTTGTTTCTTATTTTTTCAGCATCGCATTAAATAATGTGAAAAAGAAAGTCTCTTTTCTTTGCAAAAAGCAGAACGCTAGCAGAAGTAAAACACATTTTTATAGATTATGTAGGAAAAAAAAATATTTTTGAAAGATATTACCAAGAAAGTACCAAGAAAGTATAGTTAGTGGCCTAGAAACACAAACTGTATACAGTATATAAGTAATGACAAAGTTACTGCTGAATAAAATGGGGAAAAAAGAAATGCAAACATAGTTCTCAACCATATGGAGTATGAAGGTATGATTTTTTTTTATAAGTACATAGATAACCCAATCAGTTAAGACTAGAACACATGCCCTCTTGACCAAGCAGAAATTTCTTGATTGCAACTTCTATTATTGTTGTAGGGAGGTTTTTTAAGATTATGAGACAATGAGATAACTGTTTCTATTATTATAAGGTGTTAGTTAAACCATAAGACAATGAAGTAATGGTCATGGGATGTGTTAATAATAATAATAGTTATCATATAATAATATATAATAGTTATGTTAAAAATGTTAAATTAAGTGTCATGAAATGCTGTGTCAAGTTGTCACTGTGATGATAATTGATTTCTAGATTGATCCTGTGCACATCTGATAATAATAACTTTAACATACTGACCATTATGTGGAGAAATCAGAATGATCCCTTTAAACATCACTGATAACAGGTATGTTTTTCATACCTTGCACTAACAATGGCCAGCTAAGCTAGTTAGCCACAGGACATAAGGAAATTATTTTAAAAGTTATGCTTTCAATCATGAAACGCAGAATAATGTTTTGTTTTTTATATGCATAAAGGACTTAAGTTTACAAAGCTTTTAAGCTGATCTTGATGAACAATCATATTTTTCAACATGATTACCTATATAGCTATATATTATTAAGTAAGGCAATACTATATTAAGCTAAATTCTCTGTTATCGCCTACAGTGAAACTTTTACATCAGGCTCCACATTGTATTGTAGAACTAATTTAGGCTTGTCTTAGTGATGAGCAAAAAAAATATTCATAGCACTATGTGGTGCTTTTTTTCCTGCTAAAAATAACATGAACATCACCAGGGTATCCTATCCAATATTTTTTTTTTCAAATCATTTTTTATATTAACAAATACAATAAATACATTATATCATCTATCTATCTATCTATCTATCTATCTATCTATCTATCTATCTATCTATCCATTCAGTCGTATCCGACCCTTGGCAATTGCATGGACTGTCATTCGTAAGCGACGTTTTCCATGAATTCTCTTAGCAATCATTTTTACAGGGTAGGTTGCCAGGTCTTTCCCCAACCCCTACCATGCAGGAGATCCCGCATGGCCAGGGATGAAACTAGGACAATTTAGACAGGAGCCAATTAATCTACCAGCATGTCTTTGGAGTGTGGTAGGAAACCGGAGTACCCAAAGGAAACCCACGCAAGCACAGGGAGAACATTATATCATACATATATACTATTTTCTCTGCCCCCTATCAAAGCAAAATAAACTATAAGACACAAATCTCCAAATACAAACCATTTGTTTCCATTTCCATTCTGGTTGAATTTTTTATATATTATACAGCACATTGTGGATACCACTATTTTTAACACCAGTCCCTCTTA